CACTTCTTTATCAAAGGAAGCCACTTTTTACTTCACTCTATAAAGAATGTGGTACAATTAAGTTTGTACAATTAGACCTTTGCCTAATGCTTTTTCTTTTGGTGTTTAATTTTTTGACAGTTTTATGGAGATTAAATTCACACTCCACACAATTCACCCATTTAAAGTATATAATTCAGTTTTTAATATATTCACAGACTAGTGCAGCCATCAACACTGTTAATTTTAGAACATTTTAATCACCCTGAAAAGAGACCGTGCTCCCCTCCCCCGCCTTGGTTCATACTCTTTGAACAGTAATGACAGGTCAGTGCTTTAGTGCTGTGCCCAGGGAGGCAAACCTGCATCCCTTCCTCACTCACTCTTCTCTTGCTGCCTGTTTTTCACTTGAGCACTCGCCGCCTAACCTGTGGTGCATTCTTCGTGTATCTATTTTAATTGTCTGTTTTTGTCAGAACGGAAGCTTTATGGAGGCAGGCGTTTTTGTGAGAATGTCTAGTGCGTGATAGGTACTCATATGTTTGCTGAATGAATGACTTGTTAATCAGTTCGCTGAACTTGGACCTATCAGCACTGTGCTGAGAGCTCTGCACATATATTGCCTCTTTGACAACCTCTATTTACTCTTAGGGAAACTGAGGCTTGGAGGTGAAATACCTTGCACAGAGCCGGTAACCCGAAGAGTGAATTCACGAATCCAAGTGGAGCACGTTGCTAAAAATACAATGCAAGCCATGTAATTAAAAAACAAACAGGTGAGGGCAGCTGTAGTCTCAGCTACTCAGGAGGTTGAGGCAAGAGGGAACTTTGAGGCCAGGAGTTTGTGGCTGTAGTGCCCTGTGATTGGACCTATGAGTAGTTCGTCACTGTGTTCTGGCCTGGGCTAAGATATGTCTCTTTAAAAAAAAAAAAACAAGTGAAATTCATTTTAGTATTTTACTTAATCCAGTATATCCAAGATACTGCCATTTCAGCATGTAATCAATATAAAATTATTAATGAGATATTTTGCATTCTTTTATTTCAAATGGAATTTTTGGACCCCACTGTGCATTTTATACTTAAAGTACATCTCTGTATCTCTGTTCACACCAGCCACATTTCAGGCGTCCTTTGTGGCCAGTGGGTTCCCTGTCCCCAGGTCTGACTTTAAATCTGATGGTTTTTTTTCCTTTTTTTTGAGACAGAGTCTTACTATGTTACCCTTGGGTAGAGTGCTATGGCGTCACAGCTCACGGCAACCTCCAACTCTTGGGCTTAAGTGATTATCTTATCTCAGCCTCCCTAGTAGCTGGGACTACAGGCTCCACAGTGCTCGACTGTTTTTTTTGGTTGCAGTTGTCATTGTTGTTTAGCAGGCCTGGGCCAGGCTCGAACCTGCCAGCTTCATTGTACGTGGCTGGCACCCTACTCATTGAGCTACAGGCACCAAGCCTGTTTTTGGTTTTTTTATACAAGAGTCTTACCCCCTAGTCCTGGTTAGAGTTTTGGGGCATCATCATAGCTAACAGCAATCTTAAACTCTTTAGCTCAAGGGATCCTCTTGCCTTAGCCTCATGAGTAGCTGGGACTAGAAAAACACTTGCCCGGCTAGTTTTTCTATTTTTAATAGAGACAGGATCTCACTCTTGCTCAGGCTGGTCTTGAACTCCTGAGCTGAAGTGATCCACCTGCCTGGGCAGAGTGTTGGGATT